GTAGGAACCATAAACGAATTGACGACGTGGTCACATCTTCCAAGATCATGGGATGCCAGCACCTCGAAGTTTATTTTTGTTTACATGCCCTTTGGCCTGCCGTAAATACGAATGTCAAGACTGAGCGAGTAACTCGCGGACCCGGGGGGGGGGGGGGGGGGGGGCTACTTCCACATTAAGTGGGTAAGGGTGTGAAGCCCACCTCTCGAAAACCATACTCACTTCTAAACCATTTTTTTTCTATTTATATACCCACTTCTAAACACAAGTGTTTTCAGCGAAAAAAAAAACACCCAGCTCACAACTTTCGCAACCAGTGAGCACATCAGGGCAATGCATTTTATTCAGCCTTTTCCAGTATTTGGCTTTGAATCTAAGGATCTGTGAAAAAGTAAATAAATGCTACACATTTCTAAACCAAACCATTGATAAATGGCTACCCACTTCTAAACAAAATAACGTGAAATGACACCCCAGTCGGGCGGCACATACCCGTATTGCACTTCTATGGAAGTAGCCCCCCCCCCCCCCGGGTACACGACAGAGTCAGCCTGACTTACCGCAATCTTTGAACGTGACCGATTTCGCCCCTGTCATGGCAACCAACACCAACACAAGAACACCGATACTTATTTGAGACATCGTCTTTAAAATGACCAAGTTAAAAATAAACTGAATTTTTCGACCAGTTGAATAACACTCGTGTACAATGTGGGCGGTAATGCTTCGGGTTCAAAGGTAGATCACAGCAGGCTGCTCACCTGATCTGAGGTCAGGTGTTTCTCCGAAAGACTGTTTCAGTTGCAAAGTGGAGAAACAGACGAAGGAAGCTGGGGGTAATGTCTACGCTATTTTCTTTCATAGCTCCATGATATTTCGACCCGGGATTTCGACGCTTATTTACAAACAATCGGGAAAAAGATAATTGATAGTATTGTAGATAAAGAATGCCAATACATTGTACATATAAAATTAAATATATGAACTCTATCGTCAACAGACTAAGTGGAAGTCATGTGCTATGAAAGCGTTTACTCGTGTTTATTGACTTTAAAAGTTGTAGTTGTGCATATTAATGACTATAACACATAATTCTGGCGATTATTCTGTTTTTGTTTATTATATGAATATATAATTGCAAAGATCACTTTATTTATCTGTAATCAGTTTCGCAGTGAACTGTGCTGTAATCAAAATATAAGGTGTACTTATTATTAAAGCAATGTATCGGTACGCAACAAAACAGTACAACGTGAGTATTCATTGGTGTGTGGCCGGATTAGGGTTTGTGACCAACTATAAGGATTAGGATTACCTGAAGCTTAGGATTAATTTAAACTTATGAAGATCGATAAAACAAGTCATGTTGGATGACAAATGTACAATGAAAGAGGGAATTCCTGACATTAAGGTCATTGGGTATTAGTTTCACAGCTGTCGACATTGATGTAGCATACAAGAAAGATAATATTCCCAAGAAACACAATGCAACATAATAATGTGATAATCTTATTCCAGCGCGCTAAAGTCGTTCGCAATGGGGCACAGCACCTTAATGCCACAAAAGTGAGACTGTTCTGACCCTGTGCCTCATCGATATTGTGCATCCCAATCACAAAGCACAAGCAAAAAATAACTAACTGCAATAACATGCATGTCACAGAGACGGATAAAGTGGCGATACCAAACGTGGGGACTGGAGAGTCCGCGGGGCAATTAACTTGGAGACTGTATAGATTCGACCCCAATGCAATGCATATGGCCAGGTGTACAGCAAACAAGGAGGAGTTCAATAATCCGACAGCGACCGTCTTCACAGTAGTGTATCCGTTGAAACCAAAATTCTGTAAATAAAAACAAGGCATGGAAATGAAGGGTTTCGAAGACGCGACAGGGGGCAAAGGAGAGCGGCTGATTTGAAATTGATATAAAGAACTTCGTTATTTTGTGAACATTCACACAATCTACATACATCACAAATGCTACAGTTCCTTAGCACAACAGTACACGCCGACAATTTACAAAAATTACAAAATAACATAATGCTATACATAATTTTGTGACTAAATATTGTTTTAAACAAGTTAAAAATAGATTCACGATATATTCATGATATATTATGAAAGTTTACCTTTCTGTCTGGCTCTCCCGTGCAAACCCATTCCAATTTAGGATCTATTACCAATTGTTCAATTGGCATTATGCCATCAGTTTGAGGGTAGACAACTTTGTTTGCGTCATTTTGCGGTCTTAATACTATGGTTGACGGGTCCATACAAAATATTTTACTGAGAACTTTCACAGTTAACTGGTCTTCAGTCAGGTAAATTGTACTATTCATGCTATGCGGACCAGCTGCTACAGTTCCGTGAATGGTTACTCCACGCATGGGAGATGGGTTCACTGCTGTCATGGTTGCTAGAAAAAGTGATACAGTAGAATGTAAATTACAGTCACCAAATCTACGCGAACTAAGTAAAGCTCGTGGAGTGATCGCCACAAACCAAGTTAGAGGCGATATCTGACCCAGGTACATTCTATGCCCAAGTATTGTGTCAGTGTCGCTATTGTGTCGTGGTTGTTATGTTTACAACATGTACAAACAAGGCTAGTACAATAAAAAGACATGCACCAGTTAACAACCATATATTATGGCAAACTGGATAAGAAATGCTGCAAAAACAAAACGTTATGAATTGATGAATTTGTCGTTAAGGGAAGAAAGTGTGCGATACACATTGAATGATGTGCGATGGACGGAACAATACCTGTAACAATAATGTTCGATCGCATGGGGAGGGGTGATGTAACGTCAGTTTCACCCGTCAAATTTAACGAACTATTGACCTCAAGAACCAATTAACTTCTAGCGACGATGCATGATGACATGTAATTGGCTCCTAATTCATGGTTGTTCGATGTGAGCCACCAAGTTATTTACAACAGAGACAATTCTAAATAGAATGCAATCAGTGATCTCCAGACTGATGTACCGGATTCTGCCGTGAATTCGCCCATCCGAAAAATCGCCCTGGGCGGTTTCCCGGCTGGTGGAATCTTATTTGGGGTTCAAAATTTCAAAAAAAAAACATCAAATATTTGGGGGGGGCTTATATTTTCATTGAAAAATCCACCTACGCCGATTTTCAACACCGGCAGTTGGACCACCCAAAACGAAAAAAACTATTGCAGAAGCTAATCTAAAATTGTATACATTTATTTCTTGCTGAATTAAAAAGTAGACCGTGCATTTTACTCCAAAAAATCACATTAACGAACCTCGTGCGCCAAATACAATTATTTTGTCTTCAAATTATCATAGCTCATTTAAATATGTTAATGTTATTGGACGCAGCACGGAAGAGATTTGCTCTACAATGCTGTTGTACGATCTTTTTGCTTGGATTTTGATGGGAAAGCGGCGTGATTTGTTTTTAAATAAAAAAATTAATTGTTTTCAAAAGATAAACTGAGAATTTGAAGAACAATTTAACATTGTTTACAGCAATAAAATCTCATTGTCAAAACAAAGCTTGCCCATCACTGCTCTTGAATAAGCGTCAATGACCATGGTGAAACTTTTAGGCATCAAAAAAGATTAAAGTAACACCTTAAAAAACTGCCGTTTAACGGTCGAGGGCGAATTTATTACAGAATCCGGTACTATATATTTAATTACCTGATTTGGACTTTTTAATACGTTGACTTGAATATTAGTGTGTCTAAGATTATAATGTCATATTTCCGCAATTGGTTAATATTATCGGGTAAATTCGTACCAATAAATATGTTACGTAAACATAGTAGTCTCTAAGCACCAAAATCCGATGAGGATACAGGCTCCAATTCAAATTTATTTGTAATAAAAAGCATCCTTAAACTGAACTCACGGCAACACAACCAAACATAGATGTCGATTGACAAAAATAAGAACAAATGAAATCTGGCGAAAAATTACATTACAAAACGATTATAACGTCTGATTGGCCGATTGTCATGTGTCCGTCTTGAGCAGTCATGTAGTTTTCATCCTTATATTGGTTCAGAGTATGACACAGATTCTGCGTCCTTTCATTTTTAAATAGGCTACTTTTAAAAGGTGTGAAAAAGGACGTTGAGTTCCTAACGCGGTATGTCGGTGACGTATTTGCGCATAGTGGAACTAGAGGCACTGTAACCATAACCGGTAACTAGACAACAACGACCTTCGTTCATTGTTTGTGTTTGTATATAAACATAAATACTAGTACTTCAAATACTTTATGTATAAACATACATACTGTAAACATACTTCTGTCAGTCTAGTGTTTTGATATTGAATGTTACCCGAAATTTATGTTTAGAATGGCAGCATTTAAAGAAAGGCCAGTGACGACCAGAGCTCAGATGTACATGTACTGGTAGTTGCTATGGCTGGTCCAATGCTATTGCGCAATATATAATGCCATTTTTATCGATAATAAATTGTAATTTAGTGGAGAGAATGCCAGTAAGAATGTATACCTTACTATAGAGTATACCGGTAATTTGGTGTAATTCATCATATATATAATATATACAACGCGTGTGATTCCATAAAGGTTTACTCAGCTCAGACGGAGGCGGGGAACACTCATTGTTGATCTCAGTATTGGGGCAGTCAAATGCAAATTCGTAAGAACAAACAACAACAATACTCCTGAAAGTGCACGGTTGCAACAAACGAATATGACACCCACCATTTCCAATTGCAAGTGCTTCTGATTCCACGTCCTCCAGGCGCATTGATGTCGGCATATTGTATTTCCAACAAAAATATATCACAACTGAGTATACCTGTAATGTCCTATAAGCTCTAGCACGATGGCTACCAGATATGGCAAAACAAACAACAAACTGTCCTTCTGCAGCCAATGTGTTTACCTCGTCGACCAAAAGAGGGCGTGTGTTGTATATACGACTGTCCTCTAACATGTCTTGCATTTATATTGGAACATACATGTTGTTATGACAATGGTACTTACATTTGAGGCACGAATGTTTTAAAATCATGTGTCAATTTTTTCCCGAAAACGGGATCATGTATCAAAATTGTTATTAAATATCGTTATCCCCAAATTCATGCATGGTAGATGAAATATGATTGCAGAATTGCATTTTACTGCAATTTATGTATTTGAAGACGTTTCACACTTTACCTTGCGTGTAGAAATATGAAAGGTCATGTTGTAGTATGTAATCATACATTTAGCATTTCGCTGGAAAAAAAATGTTTCTAATTTCCCTGAAATTATTCAAGGTTTTAACCTTGTCATTTAGCATTAACACGGATACTATAAACCTCGAGCAACCGTGGCAATACCGTGACAGATGTAGTTGCAGACAGTTGAATTGTATCGGGCGAGGGCGCTACTCCAATGCTCGTGTGGTACATACAATTATCATAACACACACAATTAACTAACAATAACAAGACCGTCTACATAAAGTTAAAAAATGCGTTTTATTTGTATTCGATACATTTGTATCTGATTATTGTGAGTGATATATGATAGTACGTGTCTGATCTAAGCACGTATTTCCGCCATGCGTATGAATCTATGCATGTTGTTACTGAAGCCTACTCGTGCAATTGAAGGAATTGTATTTCTGCATTACTATGGGTTCCGACCCCCAACCCTAAGCTGCGTGCTAGATGATCTGTGCAGGCACTTCACAACAAAACAAGTCTTGTTGTTTTTCATTCTGTACTGCCCATTCCACGACCAATTTGAGCTTCATAGAAAAACCTAGATAATAATTACAGCGTTATTAGTTTCATACATAATATTGGTCGACCACTTGGAATCATGGGAATCAAGCTAGACACCGAGAGAAAAAACAAATTGCATGCTAATTGTGGGGGAAAATATTGGTACAATAAAAACAAATTGTACATGCATGATAGCGCAAAACATGCACACTCTTCCAATAACCCCTACCCTATGATTTCAAAGGTATGACCTTTTAATAGTACAGTGTGGTCTCAGGAGCCGTACTATAATTAAACACCTAAATTAATACAGTTGTTTTTGCCTCAGCTGAGTGATCCTCCCACTAAATGTGCCAGTCACCCATGCCCATCCCTTGGAAAAAGTTGATTTCAGGGGTTGATAAACAGAAGCAACAATATTGGCGCTTACATGTTGTGTAAACGAAAGAATACTAGAAACCTACCGATGGATAAGACTGAAAACATGACAGTGTCGAAGTGTAAGTATATTGAGTGCCAGCACTAAGAGGACAGGGTGGAAGAGAACCACCTGTACATGCATCTGGATGTGCAAGTGGAAACGGTATAGGAACTCCACTCCACCGATTATACCATGGACGACTGATGTAGCCTTCATAGCATTCCCACCTGTAACAGTTAGAATAGACAATAGTGTAATAAAAACATTATCTCGTAGATTCTCTGTGTTCGAGACATATACATGACATACATTAAATGAATTACCTGCGACAAAGATGACAACCATAGTTATGTCAGTGCCTCTCTTTAATTTGCATGGTTCTGCCGTGCATGGTCTTATATCAACAGATTTGATGGCGCCTTTACCTGGACCAGTAGCTAACAATGAAATATAAAAGAAAAGTTACTAAATTTTCTCTGAAAAGTGGGTGTATTTGAGTGAATGCCAATAATATGATATCTGTCGTTAAGTTTGTTGGATAACATTCATTTCATTTTGTGGCTCTTCACCTCTGACATTATCATGAAATGCCTTAAGGAACTGGTCATTTTCTTTGGCCGGGTACCGGGGGATTCTGACATTGCAAAAGTGACTTTTCTCCCGGTTCCTGCTCTGTCCAACGAGATATATTCCTTATATTCGTTCTCCTTCTTTTGTTGAGGTGGTACAGGAGATATTAGTATTTGTGAGTTACAAATATCTTATATACCAGGTTATGATATTTACTGTTTTTTTTTGATATTTTTATTAATAAAATGAGGTTATTACGAGAATACCTCAAAGTATGCCCGAAAAATATCATAACCTGGTATATAAGATATTTGTAACTCACAAATACTAATATCTCCTGTACCACCTCAACAAAAGAAGGAGAACGAATATAAGGAATATATCTCGTTGGACAGAGCAGGAACCGGGAGAAAAGTCACTTTTGCAATGTCAGAATCCCCCGGTACCCGGCCAAAGAAAATGACCAGTTCCTTAAGGCATTTCATGATAATGTCAGAGGTGAAGAGCCACAAACTGAAATGAATGTTATCCAAAAAACTTAACGACAGATATCATATTATTGGCATTCACTCAAATACACCCACTTTTCAGAGAAAATTTAGTAACTTTTCTTTTATATTTCATTGTTAGCTACTGATCCAGGTAAAGGCGCCATCAAATCTGTTGATATAAGACCATGCACGGCAGAACCATGCAAATTAAAGAGAGGCACTGACATAACTATGGTTGTCATCTTTGTCGCAGGTAATTCATTTAATGTATGTCATGTATATGTCTCGAACACAGAGAATCTACGAGATAATGTTTTTATTACACTATTGTCTATTCTAACTGTTACAGGTGGGAATGCTATGAAGGCTACATCAGTCGTCCATGGTATAATCGGTGGAGTGGAGTTCCTATACCGTTTCCACTTCCACATCCAGATGCATGTACAGGCGCTTCTCTTCTACCCTGCCCTCTTAGTGCTGGCACTCAATATACTTACACTTCGACACTGTCAATTTTTCTGTCTTATCCATCGGTAGGTTTCTAGTATTCTTTCGTTTACACAACATGTAAGCGCCAATATTGTTGCTTCTGTTTATCAACCCCTGAAATCAACTTTTTCCAAGGGATGGGCATGGGTGACTGGCACATTTAGTGGGACGACCACTCAGCTGAGGCAAAAACAACTGTATTAATTTAGGTGTTTAATTATAGTACGGCTCCTGAGACCACACTGTACTATTAAAAGGTCATACCTTTGAAATCATAGGGTAGGGGTTATTGGAAGAGTGTGCATGTTTTGCGCTATCATGCATGTACAATTTGTTTTTATTGTACCAATATTTTCCCCCACAATTAGCATGCAATTTGTTTTTTCTCACGGTGTCTAGCTTGATTCCCATGATTCCAAGTGGTCGACCAATATTATGTATGAAACTAATAACGCTGTAATTATTATCTCGTTTTTCTATGAAGCTCAAATTGGTCGTGGAATGGGCAGTACAGAATGAAAAACAACAAGACTTGTTTTGTTTTGAAGTGCCTGCACAGATCATCTAGCACGCAGCTTAGGGTTGGGGGTCGGAACCCCATAGTAATGCAGAAATACAATTCCTTCAATTGCACGAGTAGGCTTCAGTAACAACATGCATAGATTCATACGCATGGCGGAAATACGTGCTTAGATCAGACACGTACTATCTTATATGCCTCACAATAATCAGATACAAATGTATTGAATAAAAATAAAACGCATTTTTTAACTTCATGTAGACGGTCTTGTTATTGTTAGTTAATTGTGTGTGTTATGATTATTGTATGTACCACACGAGCATTGCAGTAGCGCCCTCGCCCGATACAATTCAACTGTCTGCAACTACATCTGTCACGGTATTGCCACGGTTGCTCGAGGTTTATAGTATCCGTGTTAATGCTAAATGACAAGGTTAAAACCTTGAATAATTTCAGGGAAATTAGAAACATTTTTTTTTTCCAGCGAAATGCTAAATGTATGATTACATACTACAGCATGACCTTTCATATTTCTACACGCAAGGTAAAGTGTGAAACGTCTTCAAATACATAAATTGCAGTAAAATGCAATTCTGCAATCATATTTCATCTACCATGCATGAATTTGGGGATAACGATATTTAATAACAATTTTGATACATGATCCCGTTTTCGGGAAAAAAATGACACATGATTTTAAAACATTCGTGCCTCAAATGTAAGTACCATTGTCATAACAACATGTATGTTCCAATATAAATGCAAGACATGTTAGAAGACAGTCGTATATACAACACACGCCCTCTTTTGGTCGGCGAGGTAAACACATTGGCTGCAGAAGGACAGTTTGTTGTTTGTTTTGCCATATCTGGTAGCCATCGTGCTAGAGCTTACAGGACATTACAGGTATACTCAGTTGTGATATATTTCTGTTGGAAATACAATATGCCGACATCAATGCGCCTGGAGGACGTGGAATCAGAAGCACTTGCAATTGGAAATGGTGGGTGTCATATTCGTTTGTTGCAACCGTGCACTTTCAGGAGTATTGTTGTTGTTTGTTCTTACGAATTTGCATTTGACTGCCCCAATACTGAGATCAACAATGAGTGTTCCCCGCCTCCGTCTGAGCTGAGTAAACCTTTATGGAATCACACGCGTTGTATATATTATATATATGATGAATTACACCAAATTACCGGTATACTCTATAGTAAGGTATACATTCTTACTGGCATTCTCTCCACTAAATTACAATTTATTATCGATAAAAATGGCATTATATATTGCGCAATAGCATTGGACCAGCCATAGCAACTACCAGTACATGTACATCTGAGCTCTGGTCGTCACTGGCCTTTCTTTAAATGCTGCCATTCTAAACATAAATTTCGGGTAACATTCAATATCAAAACACTAGACTGACAGAAGTATGTTTACAGTATGTATGTTTATACATAAAGTATTTGAAGTACTAGTATTTATGTTTATATACAAACACAAACAATGAACGAAGGTCGTTGTTGTCTAGTTACCGGTTATGGTTACAGTGCCTCTAGTTCCACTATGCGCAAATACGTCACCGACATACCGCGTTAGGAACTCAACGTCCTTTTTCACACCTTTTAAAAGTAGCCTATTTAAAAATGAAAGGACGCAGAATCTGTGTCATACTCTGAACCAATATAAGGATGAAAACTACATGACTGCTCAAGACGGACACATGACAATCGGCCAATCAGACGTTATAATCGTTTTGTAATGTAATTTTTCGCCAGATTTCATTTGTTCTTATTTTTGTCAATCGACATCTATGTTTGGTTGTGTTGCCGTGAGTTCAGTTTAAGGATGCTTTTTATTAAAAATAAATTTGAATTGGAGCCTGTATCCTCATCGCATTTTGGTGCTTAGAGACTACTATGTTTACGTAACATATTTATTGGTACGAATTTACCCGATAATATTAACCAATTGCGGAAATATGACATTATAATCTTAGACACACTAATATTCAAGTCAACGTATTAAAAACTCCAAATCAGGTAATTAAATATATAGTACCGGATTCTGCAATAAATTCGCCCTCGACCGTTAAACGGCAGTTTTTTAAGGTGTTACTTTAATCTTTTTTGATGCCTAAAAGTTTCACCATGGTCATTGACGCTTATTCAAGAGCAGTGATGGGCAAGCTTTGTTTCGACAATGAGATTTTATTGCTGTAAACAATGTTAAATTGTTCTTCAAATTCTCAGTTTATCTTTTGAAAACAATTAATTTTTTTATTTAAAAACAAATCACGCCGCTTTCCCATCAAAATCCAAGCAAAAAGATCGTACAACAGCATTGTAGAGCAAATCTCTTCCGTGCTGCGTCCAATAACATTAACATATTTAAATGAGCTATGATAATTTGAAGACAAAATAATTGTATTTGGCGCACGAGGTTCGTTAATGTGATTTTTTGGAGTAAAATGCACGGTCTACTTTTTAATTCAGCAAGAAATAAATGTATACAATTTTAGATTAGCTTCTGCAATAGTTTCTTTCGTTTTGGGTGGTCCAACTGCCGGTGTTGAAAATCGGCGTAGGTGGATTTTTCAATGAAAATATAAGCCCCCCCCCCAAATATTTGATGGTTTTTTTTTTTGAAATTTTGAACCCCAAATAAGATTCCACCAGCCGTGAAACCGCCCAGGGCGATTTTTCGGATGGGCGAATTCACGGCAGAATCCGGTACATCAGTCTGGAGATCACTGATTGCATTCTATTTAGAATTGTCTCTGTTGTAAATAACTTGGTGGCTCACATCGAACAACCATAAATTAGGAGCCAATTACATGTCATCGTGCATCGTCGCCAGAAGTTAATTGGTTCTTGAGGTCAATAGTTCGTTAAATTTGACGGGTGAAACTGACGTTACATCACCCCTTCCCATGCGATCGAACATTATTGTTACAGGTAATGTTCCGTCCATCGCACCTCATTCAATGTGTATCGCACACTTTCTTCCCTCAACGACAAATTCATCAATTCATAACGTTTTGTTTTTGCAGCATTTATTATCCAGTTTGCCATAATATATGGTTGTTAACTGGTGCATGTCTTTTTATTGTACTAGCCTCGGGTATCGGGACATTGTTTGTACATGTTGTAACCATAACAACCACGACACAATAGCGACACTGACACAATACTTGGGCATAGAATGTACCTGGGTCAGATATCGCCTCTAACTTGGTTTGTGGCGATCACTCCACGAGCTTTACTTAGTTCGCGTAGATTTGGTGACTGTAATTTACATTCTACTGTATCACTTTTTCTAGCAACCATGACAGCAGTGAACCCATCTCCCATGCGTGGAGTAACCATTCACGGAACTGTAGAAGCTGGTCCGCATAGCATAAATAGTACAATTTACCTGACTGAAGACCAGTTAACTGTGAAAGTTCTCAGTAAAATATTTTGTATGGACCCGTCAACCATAGTATTAAGACCGCAAAATGACGCAAACAAAGTTGTCCACCCTCAAACTGATGGCATAATGCCAATTGAACAATTGGTAATAGATCCTAAATTGGAATGGGTTTGCACGGGAGAGCCAGACAGAAAGGTAAACTTTCATAATATATCATATATCGTGAATCTATTTTTAACTTGTTTAAAACAATATTTAGTCACAAAATTATGTATAGCATTATGTTATTTTGTAATTTTTGTAAATTGTCGGCGTGTACTGTTGTGCTAAGGAACTGTAGCATTTGTGATGTAGATTGTGTGAATGTTCACAAAATAACGAAGTTCTTTATATCAATTTCAAATCAGCCGCTATCCTTTGCCCCCTGCCGCGTCTTCGAAACCCTTCATTTCCATGCCTTGATTTTATTTACAGAATTTTGGTTTCAACGGATACACTACTGTGAAGACGGTCGCTGTCGGATTATTGAACTCCTCCTTGTTTGCTGTACACCTGGCCATATGCATTACATTGGGGTCGAATCTATACAGTCTCCAAGTTAATTGCCCCGCGAACTCTCCAGTCCCCACGTTTGGTATCGCCACTTTATCCGTCTCTGTGACATGCATGTTATTGCAGTTAGTTATTTTTTACTTGTGCTTTGTGATTGGGATGCACAATATCGATGAGGCACAGGGTCAGAACAGTCTCATTTCTGTGGCATTAAGGTGCTGTACCCCATTGCGAACGACTTTAGCGCGCTGGAATAAGATTATCACATTATTATGTTGCATTGTGTTTCTTGGGAATATTATCTTTCTTGTATGCTACATCAAGGTCGACAGCTGTGAAACTAATACCCAATGACCTTAATGTCAGGAATTCCCTCTTTCATTGTACATTTGTTATCCAACATGACTTGTTTTATCGATAAGTTTAAATAAGTTTAAATTAATCCTAAGCTTCAGGTAATCCTAATCCTTATAGTTGGTCACAAACCCTAATCCGGCCACACACCAATGAATACTCACGTTGTACTGTTTTGTTGCGTACCGATACATTGCTGTAATAATAAGTACACCTTATATTTTGATTACAGCACAGTTCACTGCGAAAACTGATTACAGATAAATAAAGTGATCTTTGCAATTATATATTCATATAATAAACAAAAACAGAATAATCGCCAGAATTATGTGTTATAGTCATTAATATGCACAACTACAACTTTTAAAGTCAATAAACACGAGTAAACGCTTTCATAGCACATGACTTCCACTTAGTCTGTTGACGATAGAGTTCATATATTTAATTTTATATGTACAATGTATTGGCATTCTTTATCTACAATACTATCAATTATCTCTATCCCGATTGTTTGTAAATAAGCATCGAAATCCCGGGTCGAAATATCATGGAGCTATGAAAGAAAATAGCGTAGACATTACCCCCAGCTTCCTTCGTCTGTTTCTCCACTTTGCAACTGAAACAGTCTTTCGGAGAAACACCTGACCTCAGATCAGGTGAGCAGCCTGCTGTGATCTACCTTTGAACCCGAAGCATTACCGCCCACATTGTACACGAGTGTTATTCAACTGGTCGAAAAATTCAGTTTATTTTTAACTTGGTCATTTTAAAGACGATGTCTCAAATAAGTATCGGTGTTCGTGTGTTGGTGTTGGTTGCCATGACAGGGGCGAAATCGGTCACGTTCAAAGATTGCGGTAAGTCAGGCTGACTCTGTCGTGTACCCGGGAGGGGGGGGGGGGTACTTCCATAGAAGTGCAATACGGGTATGTGCCGCCCGACTGGGTTTCATTTCACGTTATTTTGTTTAGAAGTGGGTAGCCATTTATCAATGGTTTGGTTTAGAAATGTGTAGCATTTATTTACTTTTTCACAGATCCTTATATTCAAAGCCAAATACTGGAAAAGGCTGAATAAAATGCATTGCCCGGATGCGCTCACTGGTTGCAAAAGTTGTGAGCTGGGTGTTTTTTTTTCGCTGGAAACACTTGTGCTTAGAAGTGGGTATATAAATAGAAAAAAAAAATGGTTTAGAAGTGAGTATGGTTTTCGAGAGGTGGGCTTCACACCCTTACCCACTTAATGTGGAAGTAGCCCCCTCCCCCCCGGGGGGGGGGGGTCGTGTATCGCCTTTTATATTTTCCATTTCAACAAACTACAATTGTTTTATTGTTCAATTATAGTGTGTTATTGTGCCAGGAAATAAGAATTAAAATAAAACGACGCGTTACAAAGCGAGACAAAATACTTATTATGACGCTGGGAATTCACAGGATAGTTTAAAATGTTATTATCTAGACCGAAAGCAAGCAATAACAAACATTTTCTATATACATAGTAATGTAAATTTCAAAATCATCTTCAGATTTTGGCAAAATATCTCAATTTACTTTATTTACTAATGACATAGTCTGAGTATTGTGTCATCACTACCAGTGATATTAAACAGAACTTCAAAAAATGTCGCCAATCTCGCCACTGTCTCGCGAGAGGGCGCAAATACATCCATAACCGTGAATCACAATGCTATCAGTATCGGGTACCACATGTGTGTGGAGTGACTGACAAATTGACTGGCAAACAATGCTTGCACTCAAATAGTTTTCTTTTTTGAATAACTCAGCTTATCATAATGTATTATACCAGAGGTACATTACTGAATATACCAAAGAAGCTAGGTAGCGAAAAATGAGTATGATATATACATCCGTCACCGTAACGCCATGAGTTACAGCGTGTCGTAACTTTTCGGTATTTTACGGGGTATTTTCATCCTACCATATTAGGAAATGCTAATTCCATATATACAATGATTACGCGCGTAAGCGTCCTCTAATAACAACAAACATAGCTGCTATCAGAGCTTGACTGGATTCCCCACAAAGAAGTTCGCTGATTCTTTTCTAAACATTTTGGATTTCGGCATTCCCATGATGTATCCTTGGAAGGAAAAGATGTATAATAGTAAGGTTATTACGAGGATACCTCAAAGTATGCATTCAGACAGTACACCGTTGCATCGACCTCCACTGCGCGTAGGTCGATATTCCCGCTGGACTGCACTGTCTTTGTGCATACTTTGAGGTATTCTCGTAATAACCTCATTTTATTAATAAAAATATCAAAAAAACCCCAGTAAATATCATAACCTGGTATATAAGATATTTGTAACTCACAAATACTAATATCTCCTGTACCACCTCAACAAAAGAAGGAGAACGAATATAAGGAATATATCTCGTTGGACAGAGCAGGAACCGGGAGAAAAGTCACTTTTGCAATGTCAGAATCCCCCGGTACCCGGCCAAAGAAAATGACCAGTTCCTTAAGGCATTTCATGATAATGTCAGAGGTGAAGAGCCACAAACTGAAATGAATGTTATCCAACAAACTTAACGACAGATATCATATTATTGGCATTCACTCAAATACACCCACTTTTCAGAGAAAATTTAGTAACTTTTCTTTTATATTTCATTGTTAGCTACTAGTCCAGGTAAAGGCGCCATCAAATCTGTTGATATAAGACCATGCACGGCAGAACCATGCAAATTAAAGAGAGGCACTGACATAACTATGGTTGTCATCTTTGTCGCAGGTAATTCATTTAATGTATGTCATGTATATGTCTCGAACACAGAGAATCTACGAGATAATGTTTTTATTACACTATTGTCTATTCTAACTGTTACAGGTGGGAATGCTACGAAGGCTACATCAGTCGTCCATGGTATAATCGGTGGAGTTCCTATACCGTTTCCACTCCCACATCCCGATGCATGTACTGGCGCTTCTCCTCTACCCTGCCCTCTTAGTGCTGGCACTCAATATACTTACACCTCGACACTGTCAATTTTGCAGTCTTACCCAACGGTAGGTTTCTAGTATTCTTTCGTTTACACAACATGTAAGCGCCAATATTGTTGCTTCTGTTTATCAACCCCTGAAATCAACTTTTTCCAAGGGATGGGCATGGGTGACTGGCACATTTAGTGGAGACCACTCAGCTGAGCAAAACACTGTCTTAATTTAGTGTTTAATTATAGTACGGCTCCTGA